AGCTAGATGTTCCCCGAGACCATGGTCCCCAGAGCCCTCCGTCCAGCAACTCAGTCCCTCGGGGAGTTTGGATCTGTCCATGGGGCCTCCATGACCTTTTAGGAGTTATTTTTAAAATTAGTCTTCCTGAAACATGATTATTATCACATTCTTTCAAATTCAAAAACCTTGAGTAGATGGAGCCCTGTCTTCTAGATAATATCTGATTCCCTCAACCTATAATTTATGATCATCAGATTGAATCCCTACCCTCTGATGAGAAATTTACTTTGAATAACTAGGTTATAGTAGTATTAAAAAAAAAAATTTGACATCGAGTGGATTCTGACTTACAGCAACCCTATATAGCACAGAGTAGAATGGCCCCATAGGGTTTCCAAGTAGCAGCTGGTGGATTTGAACTGCTGACCTTTTTGTTAGCAGCCACGTCTTAAGCACTATGTCACCAGAGCTCTGGTATCAAAGTGGTCATAATTACAACTTAGTAAAGTTTTGGTCTGGCATAGATTTGGCCTCAACATTTGGACATTTATAACCTTATGTCAGCTTTAAGCCCATTGCCGTCCAGTTGATTCTGACTCCTAACAACCCTATAGGACAAAGTAGAACTGCCCCATAGGGTTTTCGAGGCTGTGATCTTTTTGGAAGCAGACTGTCACATCTTTCTCCCACAGGAGCTACTGGTGGATTCGAACTGCCAGATCGTTTGGTTAGTGGCCAAGCACTTAACCACTGCACCACCAGGCCTCCTTATATGTCAACTTTATACTAGGAGAATATTCTTATTGTTGATCTATATTTAAAAACAAGCTTAAACTGTTTAATGAGTTTATAAAATGTATCTTCTTTTAAAACTTACTCATATTCAAAGACTAGGATAAACTTTTCTGACTGTGTTAATGATAAAGGATGACTGTAAGGCTTTACACCTGACCAACTGGAAAAATGGAATTACTTTGTTGATGCCATAGACCGCGGGTAGAGCAGTTTTGAACGCAGAGAGTAGGAGGCAGGGATTTCTACCTGATGCAATGGTAGGGATTCTTTTCCAAAAGATGTCTGTTTTCCTTTAAACCAAGTTTGAAAATATATTGAATAAAGTAATAAATAATAAAGGAAATTTACTTGGACCTGGAGGACCCTATAGTTTATATAACCAGAGAAGTGCCTGCTTGTTTGTGCCCTTTGTAGCTTTCCTGAAATACATTTCTCCTTTTGTTGTTGTGTGCCGTCGAGTTGATTCTGACTTTCCCCTCGTCTCTTTAATAATCTTTGTTACTGAATTTTTGTCAGAAGCGTTTTGCAAATCCCAGTGAATGATATCTCCTGATTCCTTTTTGATGACCTGCTTGGTTATGTTGTTGGAATTTTTTAGTGACTAATGCATGAACTTCGTAAGAACTGAGATCAGAGACTTTAGGTTCCAGTTGTGCTTCGTGTGGTCTCTGTAACTGTGAACTGGGATAGCCAAGGTGAATAATCTCCATGACCCTTGAACACGCCACTATAGGATTGACTTGAGCTGAAGCTGTTGATTTTGGGATGTGTCCTTCCCACTGAACTGTGTGCTCCTCAAGGGCAGAAACTATAAGGACTTCATCTTTTTATCTCTTGAGTCTAGGCTTGTACTTGCTGCAAAGGTTAACAGTAAATGTTGAATAGGTGAATGTTTCTGAATAAATTTTAAACTAAATATGTCTTATTTTTTCTTTTCTTATGTCTCATTTGTATAGCGCCTGACAGTTATAAAGTGCAAGATAAGAAAACGCCTGCCTCCAACCGCCCCTCCACTGCCGTTTCAGGACAAAATAGCAACCACTCAGGAAATAAATCAGGTATGATGCGTTGCATTCACTATAGAAAAATGAAGCTTATCTCCAAAGTCTTAAAGGCATGCTGATGAATTGTACATTAAACAAAGCTAGAATTTTGGAGAACTTGGTTCCAGTCCTACCTGTAAAACACACACTCACGCTGGCTTGTATGAGTTTGCTAAGTTGGAGAACCTCTCAAAGCCTGCATTTTCTCTCTTTAAAATGGATATTCAAGTCCCCTGCTTACCTCCCAGAATTATTTTGACAATAAATGAGATAGTGTATGTAGATGCATTTTACTGTCAAGCAGTGTGTAAGAGGTAGTAATTTCACTATTCTGTCTAATGATAACTACGATACAATTTTTTATACCTGTATATTCAGCATTATTGCATATCTCTTATATGACTTTTTCAAAAAAACATTTTAAGAAGTCTTTACACATAGCAAAGCTGGTATGGAATTATGTTTTTCTTCTCCATTCCCTGCAATGATTCTACACCTACATAGTAATTCATTTAATAGTCTATGATTCATGGTCTGTTCCACTCAGTAACACAAAGAAGCAAACAGTCTGTAAACATAATACAAACCATTGAATAGACAATGCAGTTGCTTCCAGGTATCCAGTGAGCACTGTTGAGTCCTTGGGAGAGACTAATGTATAGTATGATGATAAGAGAACGTAATACCAAAGGAACGTAATGGCAGGCTGACTACCCCAAGAAGCTCTTAGAAGCCTACTTCATGCTATGTCCAAGACCAAAGTCACTGAAAAATTGTGAATCAGTGAAAATAAAGATAAAAAATAACTGGGTCTAGCCTCATCTCCGTTATATGTAGTTTTGTAATTTTTTTTTTTTTTTTTTGTGGGGGAGGTATTGAAGAGGTCTGGAACAGAGCAGATAGATCTGGCTTGTCATTTAGAAGGAAGACAAATAATAAGTACTTTTGCAAGTATTGCACAAGCAGCTATTAGTGAAAAATGATACGTGGTTTCAACAGAGTTTTAATTAGCAGACTGAGATTTTCCCATTTTGTACGCTTGCCTTTTCATGAATTTATTCATTCATCCTTCCACCCACCACCTACCCACCACCCAACCACCATCTAATATTTATTGAGTTGCTTTTCTATGCCTGGGACTATGAGAGAAAGTGCGACCGCTGCCTTCATGGAGCTTATTCTAACCTAACGTAGCCAGTTGCTGTTGAGTTGACTCAAGCACATGGTGACCCATGTGTGTTGGAGTAAAACCGTGCTCCATAGGACTTTCAGTGGCTGACCTTTCTAAAGTAGATCGCCAGGTCTTTCTTCCAAGGTGCCTCTGGGTGGACTCGAACCTCCAGCCTTTCTGTATAGATCTGAACGTGTTAACTGTTTACACTGTCCAGGAACTTCAGAGCTTATTCTAGTGGACCTTTATTTCTTCCACTCGAGTGATCATCCTTACAGGTTTCTGCTTATGGAAGTAGAAATTCTTCAGCATTAAAACCTTGTTTGTTTTACCATAAAAATTGAACATAACTAAATTGTTTAGACTGTATTTCCTTTGAATTACACCTTCCAGTTATGGTGTTTTCAATCGCCTCATATGCATATGAAAGCTGGGCAATGAATAAGGAAGACCAAAGAAGAATTCATGCCTTTGAATTATGGTGTTGGTGAAGAATACTGAACATACCATGGATTTCCAGAAGACTGAACAAATCTGTCTTGGAAGAAGTACAGCCAGAATGCTCCTTAGCAAGGATGGTGAGACTTCGTCTCATATACTTTGGATATATTATCAGGAGGGACCAGTCCCTGGAGAAGGACATCATGCTTGGTAAAATAGAACATTATCGAAAAAGAGGAAGACCCTCAACAAGATGGATTGACATAATACCTCCAACAATGGGCTCAAACATAGCAACGCTTGTGAGGATGGCGCAGGACCTGGCAGTGTTTCATTCTGTTGTACAAAAGGGTCGCTATGAGTTGGAGTCAAATCAACAGCACCAACAACAATGATATTTCCTTAGTTCCCTCCATCAACTATTGCTTCTAATTTATACTGTTCTTTACTGTGCAGTTTATACTTTTATATCTTGATAACTCATTTATTCATCTTGTGTTAGCCTGTGTAGGTACTAGGCATACATTATTAAAAGACATGATCCCTACCCTCCAGTTCACAGTATCGTAGCGTAAACCAGTATGTGAACAGATTAGTCTAACACAAAGTGGCCAGTGTAATGAGGGAAATACAGAGTGTGTGGAGAGCACAAGGCTAAGAAGTCTGTTCCGACCCAAACGGCCATATCTTTATAGAGCTGTTTCGTTTACATTGCTAAAGTTAACTCAGGAGACGTTTTGTTTCAGATCAACTGTGTCTCTTGAGCATCCTGTGTCTGTTTTTTTTGTATATACAAGTAAGCAATGGTAGCTAAAAAGCCCTTATTTAGGAAACCACTATGTTATTTTCCTGAGTCTCTCCTAAGGATGATATAAGAAGTTCCATGTTGGAGGGCTAGCCTTGAGTAAAATCTTTTGATTTTGATTTTATGCGATATGCGTCATGGGAATGTCTATCTAAATGACTTTGTTAACTTTCATTCACTAGAATTAAAAAAGAAAAAAATCTACATGCTGTATTTTGGGATATTTTGAGTACTTTTCTAATCAGAGATAGGCATCCTGACTATATGACTTCTCAGGGTCCCTTTTAACCCAGTACATTCTAGCTAAACTTTCTTCCCTCGTTTACCTCCTGATACTCCAGACAATATTTCTGATTTAGAAAGCACCTGTCTGTATTCAAATTGTTAATATTTTACTTTTTAAAGATTAATATAAATTTATTTTGTTTTGGTAAATATATATGTAACAAAACATTAGACATTTCAACAATCTTCACATGTACAGGTCAGTGACATTAATTATGTTCATCATATATTCAACCATCACCGTTACCTGTTCCCAAATTATATCATCATCCTTAACAATGTTTTAGCTTTAAAGTCCTCCCGGTGTACACACACACTACTTATGATCTTCTTAATCATACCTATTTCTCTTAGTTTTTTCATTTGGAAGATAGGCACAATACCTCTTCATCAAATGAATAAATGCTTGGATAATGCATAAGATTATTGTGAAGAATAAAATGTAATATGTGTGAAAGTGCTTTGTAAAATGCAAAGCCCTATACAGAAGTTATTTATTGTATAAACAGTAGTTGTTCAGATAAAGTGAGTTTTTGAAAAAGCTTTGTCAGTGTGAATTGATTTTCCTCATCCTTAGGGGTCGCTCTTTAGTAGAGTGACCATACTTTCAGGTTTCTGCAGGACAGTCCAGGTTTATGGATGGCATCACAGACAGATTATTAATAGTACCCCCTTTCACCCTTAGAAGTGCCCCCAGTTTGGATGGGTACCCATAGATAGAAGTTGAATGCAGAGTCCAACTGCCAAGTTGACTTATACCAAAATTCTGTTTCTCTTCAAACGTTTTTCCTTCTGAGAGTCAGTAACTTAGTTTTATTCTAATAATATTAATTCATTGGTAAACAAAGTGGAATGTACATAATGTTAAATTATTTTCTATACCTTGATTTTATTTCAGGGAAGATGATGTGGGGGTGGAAGTGAGCAAGAGACAAGGAATTGCCGAAAATACTCCATTCGCTTGGAATTATTCAACTGCGTCTTTTCCCTTTTGAAAACCTGTCTTTAAGGAGAAACTTTAACAATTTTTAGTTATTAAAACTAAAATTTAATTGCTAGCATTTAAATTGTTTAAAGGCTGTTATCAGATACAAGATCGCTCTTAGTTTTCCCATTGGTGCATGTTAATGGAAGTTTAAAGGCTCTGAAACTTAGCTGAGATTATTTGCTCATTCAGTCATATATTCATCTATCCACCATTCATCCACCAGGTACTTACTGAGGCGCCTCTTTTCTGCCAGGCACAGTCCTAGGCATTGGGAATGCAGCAGTGAACAAAACAGACAAGCGTCTGTCTCTACCCCCCACACGACGTTCTGGCACCAAAGTACCTTACTTATGATGTAATTAGAAGAATGAAAATGTAACTTAAACTGAATAAAATGTTCACTCTGTAATGCAACATTTTTTAGTACCAGGTTCCTAAACCAACCAAAATCTTCTAGCATATCACAATCTGTTAGCATCTTACACTTCAAAAATGTTGCAGTAATTCTTTACTTCCTCAAATCTAATTCCAGGTGAGTAGTGATTATCATTTCTGGATTGATCTCAGAGAAGGCCAGTGGGAACTATTGCAGTCTTAACCATGGGCCTCATTTATAGTGGTTAATTGATATATTTGTGCAGCACTATATACATCCTTGCTGTGGCTTATCATTTCCTTTTGCCAAAAACAAATGACAGCAAAAACTCCCTGCAGATGGCCCTTCACAAAATGCCTGAGGGGGCCCACATGCCCATTTTCCTGTTTTAGAATTAAACTGTTATGGGACCAGGCGTCATATTTTCTACATAAAAATTATTTAGAACCTCATAATGATTTGTAAATCTTAAAAATAATTATCATAGTGAGTGTGAGCTAGTGAGGGGTCCATTTAACCAGTTTTTTTTTTTAATCATACTTAAAAGCAAATGAAAAGTATAAAATATCAGCACCTAGTGTTGCTCACTTTAAAATCTTTAAAAACAAAGATGTCATTTTGATGACTCAGGTGAGCCTGGACCAAGCCACGTTATTTTCAATTGCCTCATACGCATGAAAAAACTAGATAATAAAAAAGGAAGAACTGACGAATTTGAATTATGGTTTTGGAGAAGAATATTGAATATACCATGGACTGCCAGAAGATGGAGCAAATCTTTCCTGAAGGAAGTACAGCCAGAATGCTTCTTAGAAGTGAGGATGGCAAGATTTCATCTTGCTTACTTTGGACATGTCATCACCAGTCGCTGGAGAATATCATGCTTGGCAAAGTGGAGGGTCAGTGAAAAAGAAGGAGACTGTCAATGAGATGGATTGATACAGTGGCTATAATAATGGGCTTAAACATAGCAACAATTCTAAGGATGGTGCAAGTCCAGGCAAAGTTTTGTTCTGTTACGCATAAGATCTCCATGAATCAGAGCCAACTTAACAACACCTAACAACAGCAAAGTTTTGTTCATAATCCACACTGTCAGATTTATACAGGTTCCTAATAGACTTTCATACAGTTTTTATTTCACATAAATGTACAAATTCCATGAAGTTTGAGAGGCATTTGGGATGCAAGCCCTTTAAATTTGTTGATGAAGCACTAACACCTTTGTCTCTAAATTGTTATTACAGTAGGTTTCTATTTTTAACATGAGATTTTAAAAGACTTGATGTCAGTTTAGTAGAAGGGAAAGTAAACCTTTTTTTAAATGTAATCATCATCATTGTCTTAGTTATCTAGTGCTGCTGTAACAGAAATACCACAAGTGGATGGCTTTAACAAACAGAAATTTATTTTCTCACCGTTTAAGAGGCTGGAAGTCCAAATTCAGGGTACCAGGTCTAGGGGAAGGCTGTCTCTCTCTGTCGGCTCTGAGGGACGATTCTTCAAAGTCCTCACCATGACCAACAAGCTCCATGCCCTTTGCCCTTATGTGTCTGGCCTCATCACCTACTGACCTCAGTCTGCTCCAGTCACTCAAATCTCTCTGTTGCCTCTTGAACACGTTAGGTACTCACTGGCCTCAGGGCCTTTGCACTTGGTTTTCACTTCCTGGAATATCTGCATGACTAGTTCCTTCACTTCTGTCAGATTTTTACACAAAAAATTTACCATCACAGTCTTCCTTAGCCCCCATCTAAAATTTTACACACCCTCTTCCTGACATTTCATGTCCTTTTTTGCTCTGTTCTTTGCATTTATTTCTATTTAACATTTTACATATTTTTTTTCCTTTTTTGTACTATAGATTTTACTCATTTATCCTGTTGTTAAACTTTTCCCCAGCAGAATGTAAACTCCATGAGGGCGGGCTTTTTTTGGTTTTTATTTTTTGTTCACTGCTGTGTTTTCAGTATGTAGAACACTGCTTGGTACATAGTAGATGTTCAGTATGTGTTCAGTGAATGAATTGATTTACTGGGACTTACCAAGTACTAGACACTGTATTAACACTGGTACAAGCATTATTATATTTAATCCTTACAATGGTGTGAGATAGGTCCCATTTTTGTCCTCTATTTACAGATAATAAATAAAATCCACATCATAGTTTGAGACTGAGAGAGGTGGGTAAGTAACTTGGCCAAATTTATGTAGCAAGTAAATTGGCAGAGCAGGAACTAAACTCTTGTCTGTCTGACTCCAAGCTGTACTCTTCACCCCCAACCGGTAAACATCTATCTCGTAGAAATTCATTTAGTTAGGATTATTTTTTTTCTTTTCTCTTTTTTTATGGAACAGACTTTTTTCTTTTTTTATGTTTTTTTTATTTTTATTTTATTTTTTATTGTACTTCAGGTAAAGGTTTACAGAACAAATAGTTTTTCATTAAACAGTAGTACACATATTGTTCTAGGACATTGGTTGACAACCCCACGACATGTCAACCCTCTCCCTTCTCGACCTTTTTTTTTCTTTTTTGGTGAAAATATACATAGCCAAAGATAACAGCATTTCAAAAATTTCTACATGCACAGTTTAGTGACATCGACTGCGCGCTTCCATTTGTGCTGCTATTCTTACTTTAGATGAAGGTTTACAATTTGTGCTGCTATTCTTACTTTAGATGAAGGTTTACAGAACAAAATAGTTTCTTATTAAACAGTACACATGTTGCCCTATGACAATGGTTAACAACTTCACAACACATCAACACTGTCCTTACTCAACCTTGGGTTCCCTATCAGCAGTGTTCCTGTCCCCTTCTGCCTTCTAGCCCTTGTCCCTGGACTGCTGTGCCTCATTAGTCCCGTTTTGTTTTATGGGGCCGTCCAATCCCCGGCTGAATGGTGAACCTCAGAAGTGACTTCACCACTGAGATAAAGGGTGTCTGGGGGCCTTACTCTCGGGCTTTCTCCAGTCTCCTTTAGGCCAGTAAGTCTGGTCTTTTTTTGTGTGTTAGAACGTTGTTCTACATCCTTCTCCAGCTCTGTCCAGAACCCTCTGTTGTGATCCCAGTCAGAGAAGTCAGTGGTGGTAGCTGGGCACTATCTAGCTGTACTGGACTCAGTCTGGTGGAGGCCTTGGTAGCTGTGGTCCATTAGTCCTTTGGACTAATCTTTTCCTTGTATCCTGTATGGAACAGACTTTTTAAAGCATAAAAATAACACAAGTAAAATAGCTTAGGAACACAAGATATCATTTATATCGTTTGATGTAATGTAATGTTTTTAAATGAAAGAAAAATACTTGGGAATTCTCAGAAAGTTATAATAATAAACTGTATCACTGACCGTATCGTCATATGTATTAGCTGTTGTAAGAGGTAGTAATATTTCATTCAACAAATTTACTGGCCAAAAGGATATTTACTAGTGTATATCATTATATTTAAAAAAAAAAAAAAAAAAAACCTGTTCTTCCTGTTAATGTTTTTCTTGTCATTTTTCAGACCCTCCACCTGTGCTTCGAGTTGATGACCGGCAGCGGCTGGCCCGGGAGCGACGTGAGGAACGGGAAAAACAGCTAGGTATCCCAGGCGCTGCGTCAGCACTCCCATTTGATCACTCAGGGACACTGTTGTTGAAATACTGGTTTTTCACCTCTAGGATGATGGGTATTTAACATTGAGCAAATGGACATCACTATATTAACTGCGTTGGTCCGTGTGCCTTTATGAGTTTAGTAATGGTGTTTGCTGCAGATGTATTGTGAAACAGAATTTAGTACCTGATACAAGCATAGGGCTAAATTTTAAGTAACAATAGGATTAGGGTCAGGCCCAGCATTAGAGTCATTTCTGCTTCTTATTACATTATAATCACAGTTTAATGTGGCACTGGAGGGAATATATACATATGAGTAGAGGGATAGTATGTCAGCAGATTACATTTTACAACTTGAAAATTAGGCCAGCGAGCATTTGGTTCTTTTTTATGTAGAAATTTATGATACTCTGTACTGCTAGGGCAGTTACTGCCTCCATGCTAGTAATAATGCTGCTGTTGAACTTATAGACGATGCTACCAGTATGCTGTCAAGAAATGCACAAGACCTAGTGCTTGGGTGTCTGATTTTTCTTTTGTTACCTAATGCCCTTGGGAAGGGTTAGAAACTACAGTTATTTGTACCATAATCACCTGGAGAGCTGGGTCATAGAACAAGCTTACAGGAAGCAGAGACCAAAGCACTCAGAAGTTGAACAGTCATTGTCTTCTAGAACATTGAGCAAGGACCCTGGTGCCAACTCCTCTTTTACTTTGTCGTCCGTTTATGCAGAGTTGCTAAAACAGGATACTCTGTTTATCTACCTGAGAAAGAAGAAATGCTTGGTCAGCGTGTCTCATTGTTTCCAGAGTCTAGGTATTTTAAAACTAAGACTTACTTTGTTTGCTAAAAATCTTTCCAGCAGATGACACATAACTGTTCTAAAGCAACTGCTTTTAATCGGGAACCCTGTACCTATATCCCCGTCCCTTTGATTTTCCTTATTCAGGAACTTAAATTTGTGGAATTGAGTGGTATGTAGAACCAAGCTGGTTATCAGAAGTTTGTTGACAATATGTACAGTCTTTTAATGCAGGCCTCTGTCTATCCCTTGCCATAATGACCATACCAAAAATAACCAAAACCCGTTGCCATCGAGTCTATTCTGACTCATAGCAACTCTATAGGACAAAACAGAACTGCTCCATAGGGTTTCCAAGGAGCAGCTGATAGATTCAAACTGCTGACCTTTTTGTTAGAGCCGAGCTCTTAACCGCTGAGCAACCAGGGCTCCGTAGGAGGTCATTTTATTTTATTTTTGGCCGTAGAGGTTTTTTACAAATTTTACTAACTTGTTAGAAGTGAGGAAGCTCTGCTGACTTTTTGTGCCTAGAGTTTCCACCCAGGCCTGAAGTTTCCTGTTCCTGACAGGTTTCCTGCAGGCAGGTTCCTGGAAAGCTGGGCTGACTGTGTGCAGCAGGTCCCCCACCCCCACCCCATAGCAGTCTGCAGTCTACAGCCCTTCCTGCTGTGAACTGTGCCCATTGTTCCCTAGTCAAGGTTGGTTTGACAAGTGGACCAGAACTGAGGAAGAGAGGCAGAAGCAGATCTATTGAAGCAGGAAGAGACTCGAGCTGAGCAACAGGAAGAAACTGACTTCTGTTCCGGTGGCTGTCATTTGCACTCTGTTTTTGGATTCATCGAAGGATTAGTGCTCTTGTCTGCCCTGTCTTAGTTGGATTGGGTCTTAAACTATTAAATATCTCCTTAGAGTTACTACATCAGTTCATTTTTGCTGGAATAGAAGTGTCTTAGTAGACTACTTCTTTTTGGTTTGAATCCCTTATAAATTAGTCTGTACATACTAACTCATAACTTTCCTCTTTGAGTTTTTTTTATCTTTCAAAGCCAAATAATAGCAATTTTTTGTGGAAAGCATGAATATATTGATCAAACAAAAGTGATTTTACATCTCATGCTATAAAGTTATAAGACTTATTAGCTTTGAGCCTACGAATTCTCTCTAAAAGCTGCCTAGTCATTATGCTTTGTATGCTCAGTGGCTAGATTTTTTTTTAGAGTGTAATCCCATATTGCAATACACATGGGTGGCGCAGCACTTGGTCTCAACGTGATGTAGTAATTTATACATTTAAAAACCTTATTTGCCAGTATTGTGTTGAGAAGATGTTAAAAAGATGAATGATCCAGTGCTCTAGAGCTAGCTGCAGTCTAGTGGGGAGGCAGATAAGCAGGCAGCAACCATGGCACAGTGTGATGCGTGTGTCATGATAGGGATGTGCACAGGAGCACGGAGAGCCCATAAAAGCACCTAACCCAGCCTGGCTATGTCGGATGCCACCTGAGCTTCCTCCTAGAGGATGAAGAGGCTTCATCCAGGGGGGTAGAAGAGGCAGCGACTATAGAAGAACGATGCCGAAAGCATTGCTAAGAGACTCAACATGCTCTTCAGATTATTTTATGGGTAAAAGGAATTTTCCAATTATTGGATTATTATATTATCCAATTATCACAACTTTACTTTTTTGGTGAGCCAGTATATAGTTTGTATCTTCCTAGCCTCTGCCATGTTAAATATCATAGTTTTTCTTAATTCTGATCTCATTTCTTCTCTTGTTGAAAAATCATGATCTTCATGAAATACACCGATTTTAATTCTTATTTTTTCCGTTAATTTCTTTTAATTTTAAAGCAGTGTATTTTACCTATTTTTTTCCACTTAAATCACCATAGTAGGAACTAAACCTTGAGAAGCTTTCTTAAATTTTATTTTCCTAGGTCAAAAAGCATACACATAAATATGTAAATAAACATATGCAAATACACACACGTACATTTGTAAAAGATTCATCTAAAATCTAATTCAAGCTGTGTCTTAGAGAATGTAAGGATAATTTCTAAAGAATCTTTACTAATAAAAAAAAAAAAAAAGGTCACACCTGACCAACTACCCATAAACTGTTTGGCAGAAGCTATGATGGCAGGGGAATATTTAAAGAAAACAAAAGTGGCTGTCACCTAATAGATATTTGGATTGTGCTTGATTCAAAAACAATAAATAGTTGGTAATATCAACTGCTACTGGGCTTTCTCACTTTAAAACTTTTCAAGTAAACAAATTGGAAAACATTCCATAAAGTCCAACAAAGCAAATTTTAAAATGATTAGCCAGTAAAATCAGTTATTCGTTGTTGGTTGAAATTAATGTTGAAATCATTAAAGATTTTTTTTTAATCCACATTTTTTAAAAAGCAAGGTTCAGAGAGAGAATAAAGGTCTGATTGTTTTGGTTTTGGAGGCATGGCATGTTTGTACTGTTTTATAAATGGGAAGGGCCTATTGATAACTTTCTTTGTGTTAAATCTCTGAGTCATGCTTTAATGCTTTTATAGTAGGATTATGTCATATGACTGGTTCTTTCTACATTATCCTTCCATTTATTACATAAAATCAGGCATAATTCTTAATGTATGGGACTCTTCTGTCAGTTTGTTTGGGCACATATTCTCTGAAAGCATGATTTTTCTCCCTTAAAAGCGTTTTACATGAAAGAATCACCTCAACCACTCCATTCCATCTGACATCATTCAGGCCATTCCTTCAAACTCCTCTCTCTTGTCTTCTGCATCTCATTCACCTCTGTCCTCTAAACTCTAACTTTGTTTTTTCCTAGAGGGAAAAAAATCTCATTTGTTCTCATGGGTTCAACTCTCACTACTTTTTTGTTGATATGGGTTCCGTATTTCCAGCAACTCATTAGGCAGTGGATGCATCTCTATTATTTGCAAGTTAACTTCTGTATAACTAAGTCTTCTCATTCTCCTTCTCCCTCTCTCCTGCTGCTTCTTTTTGTCTTACTTCTTCCCTTCTTCCTCTGCCTCCCAAACTGACTCCTTTTGGTAATTTTCGTGTTCCAATCAATTTTACCAATATTTTTTTGGCCCAAGAAATGAATCGTTTCAGCCATTTTTTTATACTTCTGCCGCTGCTAAGGGCGCTGACTTCTTTCTGACTATTGACTGGTCTTAGCTATTGCATCTTTTGCAGAACAATACATTCTTTCTTCCTTGGCTGACCCAGCCCTGCACATTGAGTAGTCTCCATCCTGGGCTCCTTCGTTTTAGTTGGGCTGCTTGTAGCTACCAGTGGTCAGCCTGGAGTTAGCCTAGCCCTCTAGCTGGGGCTTCAACCATCTGTATCCCAGTTTGTAGGTGAAAGTTGACATTCTCCATCCCCAAATCCATTTAGTCACAAAGTCTAGCTCAGATCCATACCTTTATTTTTTCCTTATTTTTAAAAACTATGTTAAGCTTATTGTCTTAGTCATCTAGTGCCGCTATAACAGAAATACCACAAGTAGATGGCTTTAACAAAGAGAAAGTTTATTCTCTCACAGTCCAGTAGACTAGAAGTCCAAATTCAGGATGTCCACTCCAGGGGAAGGCTTTCTTTTCTCTGTTGGCTCTGGAGGAAGGTCCTCGTTGTCATCAGTCTTCCCCTGGACTAGGAGCTTCTCTGCGCAGGAGCCTCGGGTCCAAAGGACGTGCTCTGCTCCTGGTGTTTCTTGGTGGTATGAGGTTGTGTGTCGTTCCCCGCCGCCTCCCCTGCCCCCCCTTCTGTCTTTTATATCTCAAGAGATTGCCTCAGGACACAATCCAGTCTTGTAAATTGAGTCCTGCCTTACTAACACAACTGCTGCCCATCCTCCCTCATTAACATCATAGAGGCAGGATTTACCACACATGGGAAAGTCACACAATACCTGGAATCATGGCCCAGCCAAACTGATACACACATTTTTGGGGAGACATAATTCAATCCATGACATTTATATATAACAAAAGATTTGCCACTTCAACATTTTTTACATGTCCAACTCAGTGACATTAATTACATTCATCATGTTGTGCAACTATCACCAGTGTCCATTTCCAGAATTTTCTATCACCCTTAATAGAAGCTCAGCCATACTTTTATTTTTGCTGCCACTGCCATCATCATAGTCCAGGCCTTAATAAATTA